CAAATGAACCAATATCGTCTGTTTTTCTTTTTCCGAAATTAATTTCGTTCGATATAACTCGACAAAGTTGTCTCTTCTCGCTCAGCGCCGTTATCTGATCTCGCCGCGTCAATAACATTTACGAAATGAAAAATGTTCTTCTCCGCGAGAGCTTAAAACTACGTTGAAAGTAATTTTTTTTGTTGAAAAGCGACTTTCGCATCGGCCTACGCGCTATCGATTAATATAATGGACAAAGTTTCGAATACGCGATCGAGTTTTCCTTTTCTTTTTTTCTTTCTAATATTTTATATTCGACTTCGATATAACAGAGTGATTTCAGAAGCGACGTTAGACGTTTGCCAAAGAGCCTCTTTTGGTTTTGGTTCGTTCGGTCTACGCGGATCACAGGGTTGACTGTTTGAGCTTGTTAAATATAATCAAAACCGAGATCTCCATTTCCATCGCATCGAGCGCTTTGCGTCGCGGCGTCTTTTCAATAACCGTTCAATTTATTCTCCCTCATTTTAGCATGGTATTGTAAGAATGAAAGTTGGAGAAAGATGGATGTTTAAACGACGAGGAGGAGGATGCGTGGAAGGTGAATCGGAAGAATAATAAACGAAATTGCAGGAAATTATAAAGGACGGCGCAACCGGAGTGACACTCACTTTTCACAGTGACTTTATTAAAATGCTCTACTTCGAGACGGCGCTACACGGGCAACGGTACGATATTAAATTGGCAGGATATTAAAATGTACCTCGAAAAAGAGGACGAGTTCTCCGACTTTTCTGATACAATCGTTTCCATAACATCCAGCAGCAGCAGCCTGTTGTGCACTAAGCTAAATACAATATATGAAGCTATCGAAATCGACGAATATCCTCTTAATCCGTGCATACATTTCTATGGGTTTTTTTTCGTTTCGCATTGAAGAAAAATGAAGAAACAAAGGAAGGACTTTGGAACGTTCTGAAGTAGTAACGCTCAGACTGTGGTCAAACGCGATGCGAGAATAGTAGGCGGCGGCGGCGCGCATTGAGACGAGCAGTATTGTTCGAGGAGAAACAAAGGATTGGTCCGTACTCGGACGATTATTCGCCATTTACCGAAGCAACTTGTGAAAAAGCAACGCTAAGGAATACTCGTGGTAAAAAAAAAAAAATGTATGAGGGTATAAAGTACGTGCAGGGATAAGCAGTAGTCGGTCTCTTTTTCTTTCTCCTTTTCTCTTGGAGAGTCGAGATAAAAGGCGTTAAACGGAAAATGTGAACCTAAAGCCGGGCGGCCGCCATCGCTTGGGAGAAAGAATCCGATGGAACGGTGATAAAAATGAAAGAAGAAGAGGATGGATGCTAGTGAAGCTGAATCGGTAGGTAGCCTCGAGGATGAAAGAGAAAAGAATAAGAGTCGTCGTACGCGCGCTTACGTTTACGTTTTTTCGCGGTTAACCTTTGTGGCATTTTAATTAATCTTCCACCGTGGTCCGAGGGTTGAATATAAAAAGATAATGAGAGCGCAAGCTAGAGAACTTATTCATTTTTCTAGTAGGTAATACTTATTACATTAAATATCATTTCTAGCGTTAGGGAAAAGTAATAGAGGTCGCACGGGTTTTCTAGTACGTTGGAGAGTATTAAAGGAATCTTTCATATTTCCATGAGCATCATATGGAAAAACAATTTACCGGGAAGCACTTGGCGGCGTATTACTCTAGGAAGCTAGAAACGCAATACGGAACGCAATACGGAACGCAATACGGAACGCAATACGGAACGCAATACGGAACGCAATACGGAACGCAATACGGAACGCAATACGAAACGTGTCGGTAACTCGTAGGAGAGTTTCTCCTTGGAGAGACGGTCTCTTGTTCATCTCGCTGGACGTTCGGATCGTGAAAATAAAGAACGGAATATCGGAATTCGGCTTGGCTCGATGCCACGGCGCTTCGTCCTACCGACATCGTCTTTTCCTCGTCGGAGCGCGGGCCCTTTCTCGCCTTGTCGACAAAATCATTGAATCATTAAATCATTATCGAATAAAACGCTAAATAGTTTCCTTCTTGGAAGCCGAAGGAACGTCTTAATACCTTTAATCGAGCGAAAAAGCCGATCGCGGTAGTCCTCGGCTCATTGAATCTTTCGTATACATCGACGACTCGAGCTCGGACACGTTTCCTTTCCCCTGCACAACTTGCACATTTCTAATAACGGTTACTACGGCCAATTCTCATTTGCGTCCGACCTTATCGCTTTCCAATATTACGTCAATAATTTCCAGTTTGCCTCTTCCTAATGGCCCTGGCCACGAATAAAAAGCAACTCTCGTGTTGGTATTCGTTTCTCCCGCCGTTTCAGTATCGCGAGGAATATTTTTCAATTATCCTACGGGGCCTTGAAGAGAGTTCACGAAGCAACCATGGGGAAAAGAATCGTTATTATTGTAATCTAGCCTGGAGAATTCGATTAGAAAAGCGAGTATCGAAAGCGAATCCTTCGACGATGGCGAAACTCTATTCGGTCCTAGCGCGTAACGGCACGTTGCCTCCGTTCCGCCCCTCCTCTTTCCCACCCTTCCCCTTAGCCGTGTCCATGCTTGCTCCTAAGGCTTGTTTCTGCCTTCGAGATTAGGAGCCTTTAAATCAGCCGTGGAAATGTAGGGATGGGTAGTATACCCGTTCTTGCTTCCTCTCCGTATTCCTGCATTTGCTGCACGTACAAGCGAGAAGGAGGGAGGAGAATAATCTAGTCGACCAACGGCGCGTGGAATTAAGGAAGTCTGCGGTCTTTCCAAAATCTCGAGCAACCATCTAACCAGCTCCTCCGCACTATTGGACTTCCGCCTTTCGAATAGATATCACTAAAAAAGCTTCCTCTTAATTGGCCGCTATGCATTCGAACGGGACTTCGTTTGATCGTCCGGAAATATGATTCCTCGTTTATTAATGTCCAAAATTCATTCCCCTATTACTATGTTTCGTGGGCGTATTTCTTTCGGATCGTTAGATCGTAAAAAGTCAAAAGTCAAAAGTAGAGAGAGAGAGAGAGAGAGAGAGATTGAAATATCATTCCACGTAACGTCACAGAGATCTGTTGATCCGAGGCTTTACCGCGAAAATTCTTCTCAACGCGTTTTATCGTAGCGGATAAAAGGAGTGGCTTGCGTATGCTACCAACCAACCACCTACGCGTTTCGTCTACATCGGAATGAAAGAAGAAGATCGAAGTAATAATTTTGACCTCTCTCCCATTCATTCTTTGGTCCATATAGTGCGAACGATGGGATTCGATAACACCCTGCAGAAGAATACCAAATCTCGGGGCGCTCTCTCCCACCCTCCCTCTCTTTTTCTTTACCCTCGCTCAATTTCCCGCTATGCAATTTTTTATCCAAATATTTTCGTCTCCACGAGCACGCGTTACCGTATCGTTCTTCCCTATTTTTACAAAACGCTTTGTTCAAAATGTTCGGCTAAAGTGCTTTCGAGGTGAGTATATCGGAATAGAAAGAATCCATTGGCACGATCCCAACGTCCTTCTTCGTCTTACGAAAAATTACAGAAATTACCGAGAGAAAACTTTTCGTTTCGTTTTCAATCGTTTTTATTCTTTTCTCGAAATTACCTTTAGTGATATATTTTTTCTAAGAGCATAGCATAGATTCTTCTGTTCAGCTTGAAAAATGTCGTATCTTTTGTCTCCTTTCTTTTTTTCCAAAATTTACATTTTCTTTCTCTCTTTGTTCAATCCCAATAGAAGCGTTCGCGTTTAATCCATTTGACAAAAGAGCCGAGCCGAGCCGCCCCCCCCCCCCCCCCGACTTACCAGTTAGAGATGGGACAAAGCCGGGAGATCGCGATAAATCTTTCGTCGACGTGGAAGATCGCAACTTCGTATTTGGAGAAAAGAAAGTCTTGAAATAATGCGAAAGAACTACCGTATCCGGATGAAAGAAGCGCAATCGGCATATTTACTCGATTATTCCAAAATATTATATCTACCTAATATATATCAATAGAGATGGGTTGGTATTATTACTCGGCTGTTTGTAACTCGAGAGGAAGACGTTTCAGTTGCAAGGGAAACACCTTCCGACGTTCGATAAATAGACTTCTCGATAATGATCCCTCAAGATCGCGAGTTCTCTTGGAAAGACCACGTATGATCCTGCATATGTGCTAGCGTGCATGTCATGTTTCTGCTGTACATTCCATTCCGCATATCCGACACACATCCACATAACTTTGGATTTACGTGGTTCTCTCCCTTCAAATTCCAAACTCCGACGTTCTCATCCCTTTTCCTTAGCTAAGTATCTACGTATTTCCCTCGTAGATGTACGAGTACATGCCGTATGTGTATGGTACAACGTATTCCATAATGTTTGCATTACGTTTGCACGCTCGCGATCGTCCACGAAGAATGTGTATTTTCTCCTTCGGCAGAACGTACGCGCATCTCTTCGAGGAATTTCGTTCGGGAACGTAAACAAAATGCAACCGCTTGTTTGAGGTAGGAAACAATAATAATTTGCGAAGAAAAAGAAGAAAAAGAAGAAGAAGAAGAAGAAGAAGAAACAAGTCTAACCGACATTACTTACGGGTATAGTATATCGTTATAAAGATGGAACCTTGGTTAACGTAGCAACCGGCGTATCGTCAAATTTCTCCCAAAGAGCCTCGAGGCTTTTAGAAAATGCGAGCTTCAATTTTCTAACATTAGATCGCGTAGATTAGATCGCTACGAGTATTCTCTCCTTTGATTTCTCCGACGGCGGCTTTCGGGTACGTGTAAATTTGTATTCAGCATTCAGGAATTAATTAATTACGTCAAGTATCATCTCTCCTCTGCTGGCATATCCGTTGCTGGATCCGCTACTGGCATTTACATGTGTATAATCCAAAACCAATATCTGAACGCAATGTTACGTTATGATAAGTATGCATGCGCCATATCGCGAGGATTATCTTCTACCGTGTTCGATACTAACGTGTCTTTGTGCTTGTTCTGTTTTAGGTAAGGATCTAAATTTCGCCAGTAATAATGCCGGTGAGTGTCACATCTAACGTTTTTATTTAGATAATCTAACTCGTTAATTAAGTAGACAAAAGCCAAGCCGGCTCTAATTTCACGTCGAAGTAACCCACCGCACAAATCAGGTTTTTATCCAAGATAAAAATAGAATAGAAGACGGGCAAAGAAGAGATATTATTTGGAAAAAGCCTTCTCCGGTGGCGCGTAAAGATGGTCTTTCACGAGGAGCCATCGTTTCTGGAAAGCTAGACTCGCTGGATAGGGCAAAAGTCGAATAAGAGAACTGGATAGTACGGAGAGGGGTTTACTCGAGAAACGGGATGTACCGAGATAAGGACGGCAAATTGCAGGCAATCTTGCTGATTAGGCTCCACAGTAGTAATCCTGAAAGTCTCCTTGGTAGAAGCATCTATATACTGTTCTCTTCCTACCTTCGAACGCGTATTAGGCGAAGAAAAGCGAACGCGATCGGGTGGTAGTAGCAGCAACAGCAGCTGCACCACCAGCTGCACCACCAGCTGCACCACCTCTGCACCAGCCCAGTCCTGTGCTATCTAAAAGACTAGAAAGAAGGAAGGAAGAGCTGAATATCGAAGAAAAAGAGTCTATTACGTGCAAGCCGATCGACGATACGTCTCTTCCTCTCCTGATTCGTGGATTCAGCTAGACGACTTTTGCAGAAAATTCTGCCAGCAATTTTCAGTCGACAAACGTTCCTCTCCTAGATGGAATTTTATCGTCCGTCGAAACCAGTACGACCATTTACGAGTTATAACAAGTTCGTCATTTCGCTGCTGCTACTTCGTTAATGAACTTCCTTGCTCGAGGACGATCGAATTATCCCAAGGAAAAATTATTTATCGGTTTTAAGTGGACCATGAAAACTCCTACCTACCAGACGGATCAAATCTTTTAATAGCTTTTGATAGGATCTAACGAAACCTTTATGTACCCGTGACCATGTTCGGCTAATTAAATAAGCAAATATAAATCCAAATAATCCAAGAAGTAGGTATTATAACCGTCATAGATAGAGAGCGAGTTGCAATACGCTATCGGCAATGCACGATCTCATTTGCCGATTACGCTCGATGAAAAAATAAAGGAAGATGAAAAAAAAACGTATATAGTACGGGATGGGAACAGTCAATTCCGTAAAAGTTTCAAATTCGTTTAGCTGTTACTATACTACGCGAGCCTTGATTTTTGTATTTTTTATTGCGGAATAATAGAGACAAAAATAAATCGATAGACGGATAAATAAATATATAAAAATCCGTCGCGCGCGCGAATGTATCGCGACTGGTCCCTACTACTCGTTTATTCCCTCGGTCCGTGTTTCTGTGTTTGCTCGTCTTTCTCCTTCTTGACCACGCGTTTGAAAAAACCTGGACGTGCCCCCATCTACCGTTGCTGCTTCACTTTCCAACCATTTTTTTTCCTTGAAAAAAGCAATGCATTTAAATTATTTATAATGTAGTCGGTTTTTCAATCTACATCGCACGGCATTGGAAGTTGCAACGAAATGGCGGAAAAAGGAGGAAGGGTTCGGGAAAGAAGTTCGCGTAGAAGAGAAGGATTTTCTGATTGGATAAAAAGAAGACAGAAGGTAGGTCGTTCTTTACGACATTTATCGAAAATGTTTCTACAATTAGCCGAATGCCAGTTTTGTTTGCATTTAACTCGTCCGTTTGAGGTAGGAAAAATTTGCTAATTATACGATCGGCATAGGAAAGGACGAGGGCATTTGCAATCGGGCTAATTTAGCGAGCGAGCGAGCGACGCAACCCGTTACAATCTCTTTCTGTAGCCTGCACATATCGACCCTCCCTTCCCGTTCGAGCCCTTCCGCGTACATGGAATATGGAGGGACAAAAAAAAAAGATTACTCTCTAGTTTTTCTTTTTCGGTGGTCGTGGTTTAATTAGAAGGCTGGAAATTAAAACAAACGAACGACGGCGCGGGCCACACCGAGCGCCGGCGAGTCACGCGAAACCGTTGTTTTTCTTTTTCCCTTTCTGCCCTTTTTCCTTTTTCCATCCCTTTGACTTTTTTTTCAAAAGCTCGCAAACGCCGCCATCACCGACGTACGAATGTGTGCAAGTCGACGATTCATAAAAGTACTCAAGCTTTTATTTATTTTTAGCACGACTGAATATTTTCTTTTCAGGCAAACTTACAAATTTAAGTACGTTTCCGATGATTATTTAATATCCTATCTTTTCGTTGGGAGTATTTGAAAGATGTCGAAAGGAAAAATCCGTGCTAGAGAGAGAGAGAGTTTGGATTATGGTTGAAAAACTCGAGGGGCTAAAACGAAACAAGGGATGTGATTACCGCGTCGTACTCGGAATAACGTAGATGGAGAAAAGAGGTTTGGGATGGGGGAGGGTAGGAGGACGCGCGGATCGCTCGAATTATCGAGTGGTACGTTACGGTTTTATGCAGATTTGCCAGAAACGGCCGGCAGTTTCGGAATTAATGCTGCTCGGACAAATGTTTCGTGGTTTTTCTGCTGAATTATCGTACCCTCGGGCGCAACAAAGCGCATCCTCCGCCAACGGAAACGTGTGCGGGTTCGTCGAACGTGCCGGACGCGCGTTTATGCACCCGATCACCTCGACGAGATCGGAAATATACTATAGAACGTCGAACAAAAACAATCTAATCGCATAGTCGCTGCTACCTTACGATTCTTAACAAAGAGAGGAACTAAAAGTAACGTATCCTACTAAACTATATATTCGAGATTTACAATGCCCGGATTCTCTGGCATATTATATGGCTAGATATAATATACCTTCATATATATGTAGAACGATATCGGAGTACGGTGGCCGATTGTAATATCAACGCGTGCCGCGGTTAGATCGCGTCCGGAATTACCGCAACGTCTATCACCGCGCGCAAGCAAGTCTTTTCTCTTTGTGATTTCCACCAAGGTGTATTCGGCAACTTCATTGTCAATTTTGAACTTGCGAGTTTCCTCGAACGACACGATACATTTATCTCTCTCTCTCTCTCTCTCTCTCTCTCTCTCCCCCCTACAAGTCGGGGGAAACTTTTGTCACCATCTCGGAAACTTTCTTTCCACTTTCTCGCATTTCCCGCCCACTGTTCTTGTAAAGATTTCCGCAACGACTCCTTGCTCGACATCTTTCCTATTGCTTTCGGAAATATTTGAACGAGTCACGAATGATTTGTCAAACAATTATTGATCCTTTTAATAATTCCTTTTATTAAAATATCTTTTCGAGTAGAAATCGTTAGCTTGACAACGGAGCGCAAAATTTATCTTCTAGATTAAGAACTCTATGTGAAATAGAACGACTCGCGTTTGAAAATGTCTTTTTTCTATTGAAAACAAGTAAGTCTAGCAACTAACGAGTCTAACAAGTAAGTCTAGTTAGGTTTCTCTAGCCGCAGGCTAGAAAAACTCACAGCTAGAAGACTCACGTTTCGTTTCCTATCTCCTCGAATCTAAACCTAGCCCGAAGCGTGAGCAATCCGTTGATCGCTTTCTATCCAAGAAGTGCAAGAAGCGATCATTGAAATGGACAAAGGGCGTAGACTACGAACGAACTTATCGCTCAGATACTTATGTAATTTCTATCTTTTGAAAAAAGAGTTAGATACAAATATCGAAAAACTAAGGTTTCGTTAAAGTTGAGAAATGCGACTATAAGTAGTTTTCTTCCGTTAACTCGAGTCGAACGCACGGTCTACTGGAAGTTATCGGTTTTCGGTCGCATCTAATGAAGAGCCTATAGTTGGCAATAGTTTCGCGGTACTCGAGAGATTCTTCAAATTCTTGGAATTACATAATATCGCGCATACGTTTGCGAACTATCGCGTAAACTTAAATGAACCTCAAATAAATCGATGATCCTTATTCGAATATTATTGTTCTACTCTGGTCATCATTCGGTCTAACTTTGTCTCACGATCGATTACCGTAGAAATCATCGTGATTCCGTAGAAATGAAAAATAAGTTAGGAAGTTTATCGCTCGTAGCGTAAAATATTATGGCAAGAAGTTGCGTAACACAAATGAATGGACAAGTTTCGTAATCGCTTTAATCGGTAGACTTCTCGGCTAATTCGAAGCGGTATGACATTGTGTCGTAGGCGCAGCGACAGAATTCAGGCCCGTCCAAGTTTCTCCTTTCGAAGTGCAGCCTTATTACGTCGAGCGTGCAATACACTCGATCGTATATTACAAACTTTAGCCGTAACTAATGGCGCGCTTTGCATGCGTTTGTTGAACAAACGCCTAAGACCTAGAGAGTGCCTCGGAGCCCGTCAACTTGAGAAACGAGCGCGAAATTTCACTTAGCCCCCGCGGCTAAGTTCCTTTGCTTGAAAAGAGAACGTGCTTCGACGAGCGTCCATTTGTTGGCGACAATGGCAAAACTTTCCTTTCCCTTCATACTTTTTTTATCCACTAACTCGTTCGACAGAACGAAAAAGACTTTAGATTCATTTTCCCGTAAATAAAGGCGAAAGATAGAGAAGCGAAAATGGAGAGCAAAAGATTCCAAGCACCGCGCGTGCGCGTGCGCGCGCTCACAACAATCGATAGTCTATTATTCCGATTTAAGTTGCTCGATTTATATGTATACACACCATCTGCGAGATTTAAGACCGTTCGTGCTACGTCTCGAAAATTCACAAAACTTGCTAACATAACGTTGTTAACTCTATTATACAACGATTATTTCCCGTGCCGATCCATTGCAGCGCGACCAGAAGAAAATGAGAGGAACGGATATTAAGCTTGGAACTAGGACGAATGAACTTTTCGGCTTTCGAACAAAGAAAAGTTTGGTGTATTTGAGAAAAGCCGTCGCCGGTCGGAGGAACGGGGAGGAGAACTCGTTGTTGGACGGCAGTATCTGGTCCGAGTTTAACCCTTTTTCTAGCTTTTTCCTGACGGCGTGGAAGCAAAGTCATGACCGATGGTGCAAGGACCTAGCTACCCTTTATTTCCGGCGAATGCTGTCCAACAAGGCGTT